AATGGGATATGAATATCTTCTACCTGTGGTATAATTGTTTAATTGTTGGCACGACTAGTTTATATTTTGTATACTCAGTTTAAAACATTTTTCTTGATGTTAAATATATATCCATATAGTTGGGAAATGCTTTTGTTGTGAAATTTTAAGTAGTATTGTTTATATATATTATCTGATTTTACTTTTATTATCAAATTCTTCAGAAATCAATATGGAATTACCTGAAAGTAAACTCTCCCCAAATTGGTGAATACTTGGACTAGATATGTAATCCTAGTTTTAAGCATAAGGGAATACTATTTTTAAAACCACCTTTTATTGATCCTATATATGCAGACTTCCATGTAAATATTTCTTATTTTTGAGGTTAAATATTTGATCACTTTTTAATATCTTCCTTTTTAAAAAGAATTTGTAAATGTTTTAAATGTATTGAGGTAGATTTTGAAAACAAAACCTCTTTTCTTGAGACAAATATGGCTATATTTTCAGAGACTATTTAAATCTACTTTTTGAACATGCCTAATATTCAGTAAGTAAGAGTATCATGCAGTTAGACAATATTGTAAGTTTCTATGTTTTATTCTTTCATGAGGATGAGAAAAAGTGTTATTTGGATAAATTCATAAGCTTTTCAAAATTAATCGTTAAAGGTGAAAAATGTTTTGCTTTCAAGCCAATAAATGCAACAGGGTGAAGAAATTTTCCTATGTATTCATAGTGTACTGTTTGAAGGGTAGGAAAAAGAAATGTGTGTATTATTTGGGGGAAATAATACATCCTTTTTCAGAGTCACAACTTTCAGACAAAAATTTTAAAGAGGATAGTCTTGGTCCTTTTAATGTAAAGAAACAGTATATATACTTACATGTGTGTATACATATATATTATATACTGATTTCTTTTTTCTTCTCTACAACCTTACCTAAACATTTAACTAACAAACTATCTTTGTTGAAACAAATTATTAAAAGATGGAAGTTAAATTCACTAATAATAATACTAACAATATTAAAACAAGGTGCTAAACATTCAAAGAGAGTGCTGTAGGCTTAAGCTTTCAAGCTATTCTAGATTTGGGGTCATAACACAGAGCAATGGTAATGATACGGTTTCCATAGCAACTGATTCATTGGAGGGCTAGACCTCTGTCTAGGGTGCTGTCAGTGTATGTAGAGTTTCGGTGAACAGAAAGTCCCAAAGAAGGGTCTGCTTCTACCTAATCCAGTTTTAATTGAACTCTAGAGACTTTGAAGTGAAGCCTCCGACCAGGAATATACTATTCCAATACGAAACAAACCTCTTGCTTAGCTAGGCCTCAACTGCTTTTCAGTACTGACACCTTTTCCTAATGAATACTTTAAAGAAATGTTATTATATCGATTTCAGCAAGTAATTCTGTTATTTACAAGATTCTTTGTTTCTGTTTTAAACCCCAGTTATTTTGACCGTAAGTATAGAATTTCATTTGTTAATTTTTTTAAGTCAGTCTGATACTTAAATTTTGATACCTTTGACAGTTCTAAATAATTTTCTGTCTCTCCTGTTTCTGTTTCTTTGAGTTTTAAAACATTACTTCATCTGCTTATATTTAATTTTGAAAGCACACTGTCATGCTTTCAGTATGATATCGTTTATATCAGGTTTGAAAACATGTAGCACAATGCTGGATATTATCTGTGGATGTGTATGTAGTAATAGTATAAAAACTTCCTTGGGAATGATAAACCTCAAAACAAGGATAGTGACTGGCTCTGATGAAGTAGGAAAATGGGATCAGGAAAGGTTATGTATGGGAATTTCAACTTTATCTGTAATGCTTTATTAATTTTTTAAATATGTGCAGTAATGTGGTACAGTGTTAGGATTTTGTAAATTTCAGTAGTGGGTGCATGGCGCTTATGTCACATCCTGTAGTATGAATATGTTTGACAATTGGTAATAAAACAAATTTTAAAGGACATGCCACTTGCTGTATTCAAGGAGGTTTTAAAAATAACTGTACTGTTTAAAGGAGTGGGATATAACTTGAATTTTTTGATCAATTGGAAAGCTGTTTCAGTTCATTAAAATGTCATAATAATGTTTAAATATATTGACTTCTGCTAATAATTGGAATATCCTAGAGTGTAATTAAATCTTTAATTGCATGACTGATGTTGAAATGATTGACATCACCATTATGAGCAACAAGTCTTATTATGTAGCTCTAAAGATATAAAAGGTAGAATTTTTAGACCAATGTGTGATATTCTTAGCATATCACAGAGCTAAAGAGGTCCTTTGTTGTTTGTTTTCATTTGATTTTCCCCTTTCACTTATAAACCCCAGTACAGGAAAACGAGTGTAATTGATTGAAATTTCTGATGAGCTGAGTTCTACTTTATCAAACATTTAAATCTTTTTTTTTTTTAGAAATGTGACAATGTGGTATGTAAATTAGGGCTGGACTTTTGGATTAGAAACCCTGGAAGTAGGACAGACTTTGCCACTAACTTCCGTAAGGACTTTGTATTAAGTATTTAACTTGTCTGGGTCTCACTTCCCGTATTAATAGTTGGATAGATTGGACTGCAAGTGGAATAGAACATGTATTAGATTCTCTGCTACTTGAAAAGTTAAGTATGGCAAACTCAAATACCAGTGGAAACTAGGCAGATAATAGCAGATGAGCGAATGAGTGGAAACTGTTCCCAGAGAGTGCTCGCCAGTGGTACTATGTGGCATTTAGATCAAGGTGGGCAGATTCTCCAGTTTTTCCTGAGAAACCATAAATCTGAACATTTATGTAAAGATCCATTTTCCCAAGTACTTTTAACTACTTGAAATTTTGTTAAAATATCATATGGCCTGTACAAAATTAATTTGGATTGTATATGGAGTTTCAGTTGCCATTTGTTGGTTCATGTAATCGTTTAAAAACACCTACTTTGTGCCAGTCCTTATTCTAGAAGGTGGAAATAAAGTGTGTGCAAAGTCTTTGGTCTAGTAGAACTTAAGCTCCCGTACTGGAGTGCTGAAGAGGCAGTATACAAGCAAGGAAACATTGTAATTTCTGGTACTGATAAGTATTGTGAAGGAAACCTGAAGAGTTTGGGGTAGGATGAGGTGGTAAGAGAGGAGGTGGGGTTTAGATCCTATGGCTTCTCTAAGGAGGAGACATTTGAGCAGAAATCTGAATGTGAGAATGCCAAGGCTGTGAAGATCTGGGAGAAGAACATTCCATGCAGAGATGAAAGCAAGTATAGGGCCCTGAGGAAGAAGGAGTTGGGTTCATCACGCTTTATAAACAATTATAAAGAGCTTCAGAGTTTATTCTGCATGTGACACGGATCCACTGGATGGTACTAAATACACAAGTGATGTGATGTGCTTTATATTTTAAAAATTATTTTCTTTGGCTACTCTGGTTATAGTAGACTCTACAGGTAAGAATAGAAGGAAAGAGACCACGAAGGAGGCTACAGCAGACTCTGGAGCTTGGGCCAACTGGTTATGGTGTGAGAAACGGGTTCAGGCGACTTCTGCTTTAAAAAAGTCTTGAGAGTAGTGCCCATTTTTTTGTCTTCTCTTTTTCTGTTAATTCCTCTTGATCTTACGTACATAGGTATTGATTGTATGAAAGAGCTAGTGGGATTTTCTCTTATCACCAGTTTTAAAGCTGAAAGTGTGATTAGTTGTTTGGGACTTTGAGTTGTTTTGTTTTTCAAAAAGCACTGAGCCTAAGAATTGTACCCATTATTTCATTTCTAGATCCTGTGGTGCCAGAGATAGAATAATATCTGTAGAAAAATCTATATATATACTTTGCGAATTAAATACGGTTGCTCACTCCCCCTCATTACCAAAACCCGGCGTTTTACATTGAGAAATACAGGTTTTTTTTGCAATTAAGATCTGGAAAATGGAGATTGGTATAGATAAGAACATTTGTGTAGGATAAATTCTTTCTATTCATTATTTTTCCTCTCTTTGCTTATCTCATCTTTGTCCCAACGATGCAATATCGTAATCAAATGTCTTTTGATTTGTATGTTTTAATGGTGGTTATTTTTGAGAGATATATCTTAGTTGTTTAACTGAATTTTCTTTTACAGATTTTCATCAGTTTTTGATGGCAAATACTTTTTTTATTAATACTATGTGAAGTATTGATGCGGAGAAATTCCATATCTGGTTTTCCTTTAACACTTTCCTAATTAAGCTTTCGAAATGAATTTTTTTAAAAACAAAACTTGAATAACAAAGCAACAAAGTGGCTTAGGACTAAAGACAGGATTACTTTGAGTTGGCAAAGCATTCTAAACCACTGCGTCTGTCACATGGGATGACAAGACTTGTAACAAGTTACTCTGACAACCACCTACTCCATAGAGAGATTATGCTGAGTTCATTTGCAGGTTTGTGTTTAGCCCAGCTGACAAAATGATACTTAACCTCTTACACAGTCAGTCTTTGTGCTTCCTAAATGAGCGACTGTTAGCTTAACAGTGACCTTGTAAGTGTGATTTTTCGGTTATGAGCTTAAATATGTATTTTTAAAGTACGTAAAAAGTATTTGGGGCTACATTATAATCATCTTATATGCAACTGAATTTTATGAGTGATCTATAAGCCTGTAGGACATCTTTTTGAGGTCTTTCTCCTTTTTAAGGCTTTGTCTAAAATTTTACTTCTTTAATGTGACTCAAAAATTAATGAATAATGTAGTATGTATTTCCCGAAAAATAGTAGATTACATCATTACTTTAAAAAGCCCCAAATATATTTATAAGTAGATGTTTTATAGTTCTGTTCTGTTTTTTTTTTATTTAAGCATCTTTTCCATAAATTTCAGTCTATTTTCTTAGTCACCCTCCAAATTAATTCAATAACTGTTTATTCAATTCTTAGAAATTCTTTTTCTTAAAAGGGACTTTTCTGTTTTAACTGGCAGGAAGAACAAAAAAAAAAAAATTCTACTGTTTTTACTTACTTGGGATTCTTTTTTCCCTCACTAGATCCTGGCATATACAGAAGGGCTGCATGGAAAATGGCTGTTCACAGAGATACGATCAATCTTTTCTCGTCGTTATCTTTTGCAAAATACAGCCTTGGAGATCTTTATGGCAAACAGAGGTAATATGTCGCAGACGTATATTGTTACAAAGCTAACCGCCATCTCCCGAAGTTTCATTTTTAACATGCCATGTTGTTTCCATTTAGATAGAATTTTGTAGCCTACTCTCTGCCCTGTTGACCTCTTTTTCGAACCACGTGCATCTTCATGGTTTCCCTCCAGCCCTTGATCATTCTTAGAATTATTTGTAGGAGTTTTATTTTTCTGACCAAATCACAGATTAGTGCAAGGCTTTATAAATACGAGGAATAACTACCCATTTAATCAGTTGTGGAGTTTGGATGTCCTCAACATTGCTCTGACGCTCAAACTCCTTCTGGAAGGTGGCTGCATTTCGAGAGGGGAGAGAGTAATCAAATGATTCATACATTTATTTAATGTTTTTGTCTAATCTATTGCCATTTATAAAGGGACCATCAGAAAATGGTACTGAACTGTCCTGGTTGCTTTGTATTACATCATTCTTGAAAGAACTAAAATTCAATTTGTGGGTTTAGAATTGAACTTGGTGAAATTCATTAAGGCAAGAAGGAGAGACAAGGTGAACTTGAAGGAAAAAGCATTGCTGGGTATGAGTGGAGGCATACAAGGGACATTATATAAAACTCTATGACTTATTTTACATACTCTTTTATAAATAGATTGAAATTTTCTTATTTTCTCTGTCAATAACCTACAAGTTGTCATTTAAAAAATCTACACATAACATATATTCCATACATTTTTTAATGAAATCATGTTTCTCTAGGGAGTACAGATTTCTTTAGGAAAAGATGTTTTTCCCTTTCGTATTTGGTCTTCTCCCACACACATACCTCTTCTTCTAATGTAAACATAATTCTTCCAGGCAAATAATCAAGTGACTGTTTCACACTTTAGTTCAGTCTGCATTCTTGCTGTCCCAGAGGGGTCTCAGTCTTACAGTATTTATTACTTGCTCATCCTCATTTATTTTCCTTCTTTGAAATTTCTTACGCGTCTTTGCTTTATATCTTTGTACGTGTGTTTTTCTATTGCCTTTCCCTCATGGCCTTGGTCATCTGCCATAACCTGAGTTTTTCTTTTTGTTTTTTTTTCTTCCCTTGTGTTCAGTGTAATAGTGGATATATAAGGAAGCTTATTAAAAAGTTATGTTGGATATACACATGATAGTTCTAAATATACTTTAGGTTCTTAGTGAAGATCATATACTTATTTACCCAAAATGTACCTAACATGATGTAATGCCAGTGTTTAAAAACTACACCAACCTCGATGAAATGTTTTGGTTTGTAGTATTTTTTAGGCTAGATAGAAGGATCATTTTCTTGATGAGTACTTGTAGATTATTTATGGTACTGAAATAGAAATTAATATAATTAAAATTTCAAGGTTGACCAAATTAATATCTCCTAAATTCTAATTCATGATTTTATGACTTTGATATTTTCATATTTTTAAGAAGGATAAAATTTTATAAATGACTTGTAAATTACATTTATATTTTGAATATACTTATATATATGATGTACACTTATTAATTGTCTCAAAATGTGTAATTATTGAAATAGCAATGATTAGAAAGCATTTAAATTTGATTATTAATCACAGAGAAAAATTTTTTCTTCAAGTCACACATTGTTCTGAATTATATTAACATATAAAGCATAAATATAAACATTGTAAAGAGAATATTTCTTAAGCTATTCATCATTAGCAATATAACCAACAATTTAACAGCTATATTTGTAGCCTTTTTGGTATTAGATTGTTAAGTATGTAAACTTAAAAATTTAAAGTTTTTTATAGAAATTCATAGCTACATTTTTTACTTATAAAAAATTCAATTCTGTACATTCAAAATTGTAGCTTGATAAAATCTCAACATCATGTCACATTAATGCAGCAATAGTTGATATAACTTCTGACAGTATTTAGAGAAGGAATGATCTGATAGTTTATGAGTAAAATGATTATCATTTCTGGCATATTAATATTAGAACTTGATATATACTGTAATAAAAGTAATATGGTAAAAATTCTATAATAGATACCTGAACTAAGAGTAAGCATTTTATTAGACCAAGAAGTCAGTTTTCCAGAGAGAAAACCATATTTTATTCTAATTTTTAAAAATTATTTTTCATAGTTGCTGTGATGTTCAACTTCCCAGACCCTGCAACAGTGAAGAAAGTGGTTAACTATCTACCTCGTGTTGGTATTGGAACCAGTTTTGGATTGCCTCAAACCAGGTACTGTTCTATATGAAATAAATGTGGAAAATAACCTATATTAATATTTGTTCTTATGTGTTTTGAAATGCATGACCTTTTGTGCTTCATAGTAAATGATGATTATTAGTGTATTGTTTTGTTTTGAGTCAAATGAACTTCTGTCTGAAGAAATGAGAAAAAAGAAGAACATATGTATACCAAACTAAGCTGAAAAAAGAAAGTAATAAACAAGGGAATTTTAATGAAGAAGAAATCAAAAACAATAAAGAAAAATCAATACAATGGAAAGTTATTTCTCTGAAAAGATTAATAAATGTAATAAATATCTATGCATGACTTACAAAAAAAGATACATTGCTAATATCAGAATGAAGGAAGGGATATCACTACAGATCCTAAAGATATTAAAAATAAAATCAGGAAATATTATGAACAAATTTATGCCCCTTAATTAGACAACTTAGATGAAATGAGCAGATTCCATGAAAGACACAAACTGTCAAATCTCGCTAGTGGAAATAGGTAACTTTAACAGCTCTATAGAGGAAATTGAATTTGTAGCTTAAAATCTTCTAACAGAGAAAATTCCTCACTTACATGGTTTCAGTGGCAAATTCTGTCAAATGTTTAATGAAGAAGTACTACTTCTGCAAACTCTTACAGAAAATAGAGAAGAGGGGTAAATTTCCAGAGTCATTCTGAGAAGCCAGCATTACCTGAATTCCAAATCCACAACAAGGCATTATCAGAAGAGGAAGCTACAGACCATCTTGATTGAAAAGGAAGAAATAAAACTATCTTTTATAGTTTATGTACATGACTTAATGTGTACATTCCCAAGGAAACTGCAAATTTTTTTTAAAAAGCCGTTTGAACTAATAACCAAGTTTAGCAATTTTGTAGCGTATGTAATTTTATTCCTATATAGTAGTAATGAACAATTGGAAATTGAAATTAAAGAGTATTTAAATAGTATCAAAAAATTAAGCATCTATAGATAAAATTGAAAATATTAATATTTGCTCTTTGAAAACTGTAAAACATTGTTTAGGGAAATTAAAGAAACCTGAAAGTGGAAAGTTGTACCATAACATGTTCATGAATTGAAAGACTCAATATAAGTATGATGTTAGTTCTCTCCAAACAGATCTATAGGTTCAACGATTCTATTCAAAATCCTAGATGGCCTTTTTTGAGAAACTGACAAGCTAATTCTAAAATTTAAGTGGAGCAAATATCTAGAGTAACTAAAACAATTTGGAAAAGAAAAACAAAGTTGGAGAACTTTAACTATGTGATTTCAGGACTTAATGTCTTTTGTGAAATAGACTTAAAGAGCAGTAGAATATAACAGCATCCAGAAATAGCCCACACAGAAATGGTCATTTTGATTTTTAACAAGAATATCAATCTATGTCTGTGGGAAAAGATAGTTTTTCCAACAAATGGTAGTCAAAGATTGGATAGCCCTATATGCAAACACATACAAAAAACCCCCCAAAACAAACCCTACAAACCCCACCTCATCCTTTACCTAACATATAAATTAACTCAAAACGTAACATAACTTAAACATAAGTGCCAATGTAAAACTTCCTAAAAAAAATATACGAGAAAAATCTTTGTGACTTTGAGTTAGGAAAAATTTCTTAGGTAAGACTGAAAAAAAAATCATTAATTGACCTTTGAAATTAAAACCATTGGCTTTTGAAAGACACTCTTGAGAAAATGAAAGGATATGCTATCAGCTGAGTTAATATATTTGTGCAACTTAAAAGTGATAAAGGATTTGTATAAAGGATATATAAGAAGCTACTGCAAGGAGGATATAGTTCAAGTGGTAGAGTGCATGCTTACCATGCACAGGGTCCTGGCTTCAGTCCCTGGTACCACCTCTGAGAATAAATGAATAAACCTAATTACCCTTCCCCACAAAAAAAGTTTAAAGATTAATTTAAAAAACTATTAAAAAAAAAGAAAGAAACTCCTACATTTAATAGTAGGACAAACAACCTATTTTAAAAAGAAAACAAGATTTTTTACAGATACTTCAGCAAAGAATAGATATAAATATCAAACACATGCAAAAGTGCCACACATCATTCATTAGTCATCGAGGAAACGCCAGTTAAACTGCAATGTAATGTCATGGCCCAGCTGTTAGAATGACTTTTTAAAAACCTGTAACAAGAGCTAATAAGAATGCACAGTACCTGGAGCTTCACATGTTGCTTATGGGAAAGTAAAGTGGTGGCCACTTTGGAAACAGTTTTGCAGTTTCATATAAAATTAATCATAAACTTACCACATATACCAGTAGTCTCACTCGAAGGCATCTATGGAGAATAGAAAATACGTCTATTCATGCGGTGACCTGTTCATGAGCGTTTATAACAGCCATATTTGTAATCACAAAAAATATAGAAATAGCCAAGTTGGTCATCAACTAGTGAATGGACAAATTATCATATATCCATCCATCCAATAGAAAATACTGCTCAGCGGTGAAAAGGAACAAACTACTATTACAGGGAACAACCTGGATGGATTTGAGAAGTGTTACGCTAGGTGAAGGAAGCCAGCACAAAAGACCACATACTGTGTGATTCTATTTATATGACTTTTTGAAAAAAAACAGACCACTTCATCAGGAACTCTAGAACCAAGCTAGTAGGAATACAAATTAGTATAGTCACTTTGGAAAGTTTGCTAGTCTTCTTACAAAGTTAAATATACATTTAATTTATGTCCTGTCACTGTGACTCCTAGGAATTTACCCAAGAGTATTGAAAATATATATACATACATTCACTTGTAAGCAAATATTAATAGTACTGTTATTCATACAGTTCCAAACTGAAAACATTTCTAGTTCCATCAACTGTGCATGGATCAATAGATTGTAGTGCATCCAGGCAATGAAACACTACTCGGAAATAGAAAGGAATTGACTACTGATACATGCAACAGCAGGGATGAATCTCAAAAGCATTGTGCTAGTAAAAGAAGTGAGGAGGCATCGTGGCCTTCACACATTATAGCCATGGGCTATGATTCTATTTATGTGAAATTGTTGAAAAAACAAAACTGTATTGTGATAGAAAGCAGATCCTTGCCAGGAGCCAGGAACTGCCAGGGACAAAGGAATTCACTGCAAAAGGATGCCGGGGACCATTTTGCAGAATATCTTGATTGTAATGGTGGTTATAGAAATAGGTATATCCAGAACTGATTAAACTGTACACTTAAGTTTGGTAAATGTTGTTTTATTAAATTTTATCTCAACAATTTTATCTCATTGCAAAAACAGGCCCTATATTTAAAATATCTCAGTTACAAAAGTGCTCATTACATACTCATTTTCAAAAGTACCATTATTTAACATGTATGATAAGTCAGATAAAAAATTTTTATCATTTTGATAAAAATGATTAGACTTTGCTGTATGTCATATTTATTGCAATTTTTTCCTCTGTTGATATAAATATCAACTCCATATGTTAAGGATTTTGTAACTACAGTATATTTAATTAAAACTTTTATCTTTAACCTCTGATAAATCAGAGTTCAAATATTAACTTTGTGTATACATATGGACTTAATAACTAGTATTTATATTGTTCAAATTAACTTAATAACTACTTGAAAGGAATGTTAAAATGCCAAAGCATCTCACGGCACAGGGAATTGGGAGAGTGTGGGGTTATACCTCTCTTGCCTGTGTGCTGGAGTCAGTTGGCTATCTTTAAAGAGAATGACCATTAATTGTTTTCTTTCTTAGTAGATATTAACTCATCATCAATCCAATTTAGCTAACTAATTTAAGAACTAGGAAAAGAGTGAATAGCATGATGTTTCTATTGATTGATGAAACATATTAGCCGTAGAAACTTAGTTTACTTTTTGGCATACCTAAATTTGTATTGATTTGAGCTGTTCCTAATTAGTATTTATTTCAGTTTTTTAAGTTTGTATCTTATGACAAATGCAGTTGAAATAGAAGCAACAAATAACAGTCAGGATATTAGTAGGGCCTGCAGTCATTCTGGGCCAGGGGGCTTTCCAAGAGGATGTGCTCCTATGCCTCTTGAAAGTAGGACTTGGTTCCTTACCAAGTCTGCCACTGCATAGGCTGTTTGAGTGTCTCCATGACAAGGGAGCTGACTCTCCCCAGAACAAGTGATCTGAGAGAGAATGAAGCAGAATCCCCAGTCTCTTCTTATGACCTACCTCGAGTATCACATGCCATCATTTCTGCTCCATTATACTTGTTACAAGTGAGTTATTAAACCCAACCCGGGCTCCAGGGCAGGAAAATCAAGCTTCATCTCTTGAAGAGAAAGTATAAAAGAATTTGTGGACATGTAACAGGTTACAACTTTTATAAGAGACCCTTCTGAATTATTAGCAGTCGTTGCTTTACAATGCCAGTAAAGCTTTTGATTAGATAATTTTATAATTTAATGAGGAAGTTCAGGGTGCAGGAGGAAGCAGCTCAAAATGGCATAGTAGATTTCCTTATCTTAATAAAAAGTCCTTTTTCCTACTGATTATCCCTTTATTTTTTAAAAAATACTTTTATCTATCACCTAATATGTATTATCATACTTGGAAACTTTTTGTAGTGTTTTCCCACAGTTAATGAAAGCTAAAAGTCTTAATTTATTGAGTCAGTCATGTAAACAGATCTTTAACACCTAGAGTGTATCAGTCATGTAATGTACAACATAGATATCGTCTTGCCCAAAGATGTTTAAACAAATATGTAAATAAAATTTTAAAATGTGTGACAGGAAGGATGTAGTTAGGGTGTTGGGATAGTGACTAGTGGAGTGGAGATGAAATGCTTTGGATAAGATGGTCCAAAATGTCTTCCTGTGTGACTTTTACATTTTGATTTGAAGGAATAGAGTCAGCTAACCCTTGAAAGAGTGAATAGCATGTGTAAAGGCCCTGAAACAAGATGGATCTTCCAGTATTTTAAGGAATATTGGAAGGCAGGTATCACTGGCACTTAG